GTTCGATGGTTTCGAGTAATTAATTTGCTGGCTCTAAGGTTGTTTTTAAATTTCTATACTTTTTATTTTTCTTTTGGTTATTTGGTTAATTTTGTCAATGGCTTGGCTTGCAACGGCTACTGGCCTGCGTATTTCTTAAACGGGAGGATTATCATGTTAGTAAAACTGTAATAACCGTTTTAACTAGGCCCTGTATTGAGTTCAAGTCAAATCAAGGTATTGCAAATAAACAGCTACTCTTTGGGTTGATATATGCATTCGCTGCTATTTTATATCCCTAATATGGTTTATTATTTTTTACAGGACAAGAAGGATGTGGGGGAAGATGATTCAGGAATCGCTTCAAGAGGCAACTGGTGGAAAGGTATATGCTTATCTAATAGATATGTGGTTCTTCCTTTTAGACTCGATTGACTAGTCTAATTTTATCGCTCTCTCCCCCTACCTCTGGGTGTGCGCGCACGCGCGCGTCAAGCTTATCATTCTTCTGATTTCTTGTACCTTTCTGTCTTACAGGATCTCTCTATTATTAAGATCATACTTGCCAATTTATACGCTCATAAAGGTAAATTTGACTTTCTGAAATAAATTGGAATGGCACTCTGGATATTCTCATTTTTTAAATGCCTTATTGTTTACAAGATCACTGCTTTTCGTTTTTGGAAGTTTAAACATTTGGTCAAATTCAAAGGAAGCCTCAGGGAGATGACCGGAGTTTCTTGAGGGATAGGAGAGGATCTTATCCTTTTTCTTTAGAAATATGTTTCTGGTTATATTTTCTGTATTCATGGTCAGAATTTGATTAGTTATTTGCCAATTATATAACTTGCAGGTAAATAGGAAGATAGATGAGTTAGCAGTTTCTGTGTTTGCTGAAGGGAGAGAGTTACAGAGCAGGAAGAATTCAGCTGATGGCTGCTAGCTTTATATCCGAATGAGCAAGCCATACTGTGATGAAAAAATTCACATTACTTCTGCTTTACTGCTACCAACCTTGTACTCGTTCATGCTTATTGTAAAGCTTTTAAGGTTTCTGTATCCTGTGAACTCCATGTATCTTTGAAGTAAGAGTTACTCTCTGCTGATTTCCCATTACTTTGAAATTTGTAATTGAGATGTGATGATTATGAATATTTTAGGCCCTCTGTATATTTTCTTTAGTTGAAGAAGCCCTCTCTGCTGGTTTCCTCTTACTCTTTAATTCAGATGAATGAGCAAATGGCAGAGGTATTACCCAAATCCATTGTACATTTGTGTGGTTAAGAAGCTTAATGAACTCCCTGTTCTCTCTACCATTATCAAGCTTAGTAGATTTTTGTTCCTGCAAGCTGTATAATGTGTATTTCTTTCATAAATTTCCTGATGAAAATCTACACTACCGAAAGTCTCTCTGATTAACCATCTAGATATTTTGCTCAAGATCTTTATCCTTTCTTGATGGTTTGAACCCTCACTGCTAAACACTGATGGTTGTTGATGTTCCAGTGAAGGGATTATTGCTGCGTTTTCTGAAGGGAAAAAATAAACCAAGGCCATTATATTTCTTTTAATAATCAGCAGAATTCTGATCCTCTTGTTAATTAACTTTATACTGTATAGACAATTTTGAACCTAAACTATTAGACTAGTTAACTTTAGTTAAATGAAGCACATATTGAGCTCCAAAATAGTAATTTTTGTTGATTTCTTTATCCATTCTTGGTCTACTGACTAGTATATCAAAGGACATTAGGGTAACGAGATTTTTTTCCTTCTTTTTTTTGCCCCTTTATTTGGGGATTTAACTCTTGCGCTCACTAATTTTCAAAGACTAAAGCAGCTTTGAAAAAACTAATAAAATCACAGCTTTAGCCATGAAATTTATCTAAAACTGGTCCAATCAAATATTACAGAAAACAGTGGAAAACCATAGGTTGTAGTTCATGAAGTTTCTCTGTTCTGCAAAATACAAGAGACCGGAGACTGCCACGCAGCTGCACAAAGTTAAAATGACCATTCAGGAGGTGTGGCCCAGCAAGAATAGTTATTGATTGTCATCTGGAAAGCTGTCCAACAGTTTGTTAACGAACTTGTCCATTCAGTTTTCCTTATTCTAAGTTTTCAGAGTCTCCCGACATCCCCCAATCATAACATGACAGTATGAATCGTTTGATGTCAATCCTTATCCTTCCGTGGTGGGACACAGGCCTGAGTCGGTTGCTGTGTCTGCTTGTTAAAAAGAAGATCCTTTTATGCACTCCTTGACTATAGTGTTAGAGATTCTTGGTTCTCGACAAAGACATTACTTGCCACGTTTAGACTTAACAACCTAGTTACTGTAACTTAAATATTCCAATTTTCCTTTTGGGTATGATGATTAGCTTGTCTTCGAGTCAATTTATGGTAATCTAATCAAATCCTTTGGAGTAATTGAAAAAGGGAATCATTAGATTATATAACTCGAATCACATAATTTATAGAGGATGGACACAAATGAGCTGCCAGCTCTTATTGGATATAATTTACAAGACAATACGGCATAGTTATTGTCCAAGTAATTGCTCGCAGCTATTAATAGTGTCTCTAAGCCAGTCCTCGTTGTTCTTGTCTTGTCATTTAAGGCAGAGTGTAAGCTGCAAAAGTCAGAAACTTTATATCAGAAAACTGGAATTAGAGGCACATGGATGTTGAAATGTATGCACAGTATGAAAAAAGGTCAAATGAATAATAATACTTATATAGTGATTGTATAATTCCAAAGCATTCTGTTTCATCATAGTATACTGATCTCATAGATACTTACGTCCACACTTGTAACCAACGGGGCGATTCACAAAGTTGCAGCGCTTGGGAATGGTAAGGGCAATCTGAGGATTGACTCCAGAGCTTTTGGCAGTGTCAGAGAGCAGAACAGCGCAGAGGCAGCTAGGGTTCTTACCAAGTTTCTTGACCTGAGCACAGCAACTCTGAGGCACACTAGCGTTTTCATCTTGAGCTGCTGAACCACAAGGAGCAAGCTTGAGAGCCTCATTATCTGGTGTGGTCCCTCTACCACATTCCCCTGCACCCTCAACTCTCTCGATCAATCCAACACTTCCTAACACTACCAGAACCCCAAGAATGCATAGGAACTTCACAGCAGCCTCCATTTTTTTGAAATTTTTTTTAATATGGACTTCTTCTACTACCTCTTCACTATCTCTTGATGCAGGAATGTTTTGGCTGTGATGCGGTATTTATAGCCCAAATTCGACCTAAAAAGTGCTTGGTCTAGGGATCACCCACTAGGGATTAATGGAGGTTGCACTAAGACAAGTGATGGGTTTTCTTATTGTACCACTTCACTTTGTTAGTAAGACTATGGTTTTAAAGTATGAACGCAATGTTGTTTCTCTGTTTCCTGTCTAATCAAAGTAGGTGAAATCCTTCCCAAAGCATTTCTTTTGGACTTGAGCCTTCCAGGTGTTGCCATTACTCGCAGTATGCTAACAAAGAGAGCTTGTTTTCTTGCCACCTCACTTTCCAATTTCCATCAAGGTAGTTTCTTTTTGCAGATGAAATGAACAAATAAGAATTAATATGGGTTACATCTATCAAGAACAGAGATTTCAGCCTTGCCACTTTTGCTCTTATATTTATTGAGGAGGCCACGAGTCGGGACGCAATGTTTTTGATAAAAGGTGCATATAATTTTATCGTCAAAGTACTGGCATTTGAATTTATCTATTTTCTCGTGAGATATCTCTGGAAATTACTTAAAGGGAGGGGTTATACTAAAGAATTGTTAGTTTAACATTAACTGTTCATGAGTCCATGTTATGGAAGATACTCGTATCAAATTAACTTATATGGAAGTGCAGATATTGACAGGCGCAAATATCATCTCCCAGACAAAATCTTCAGCCTATGTATATGGAACTTGAAATTTCAAGCCATGTTTCATACAAAAGTTTTAACACATGCTACATATATATTTACTACTAATTAGTTATTTCTGATGCGATTTTTCATTTTTCTAGTGCACAAAAGTGAGGGCAAGATGAGTCGGGAATAGCTACATATATAAACAAATATTAGATTCCACTAGAATGTGTACTGAAATACTTGCGTATTTTTTTATTATAGTAATCAAAGGTCTCGAATTATGTTTAGCCTGTGTTTCGTACAGAGAGTATGATACATACTTCTTGAGTGTGAAGTAATGAACTACTGAATTTCAGTACTGTCAAATATCTGAAACATTGAAACAACACAATTCTGGGCTTTGACAAGTAATGATAAGCCTCTCTGGAAATATTTGATATATTCCTTAAACTTCGCTGAATTGCAGTTGTTCTTGAACCATCTTTTTACTGCATGATCTAAAAGAACAGGCATTGCCATGTGCTGTTAGAAGTTAGAAACACCCATCTTGAACAGTTGTGGTCCTGTCAGACCCCAAAAAAGAAAGGTGTGGTCCAGAGGGCAAAATTTCTAACAGTGTTAATGAACTTGTCCATTTAATTGTTCTTATCCTTGATTACTTCTTGATCAGAATGTCTGTACTTAAACATTAATTATGGGACAGAGAGAGACATCTTGCAGTTGTTGTGTCTGGTCGTTAAAGATGATCCATTCTTTCCTTTCTTATGTGTAGTGCTAAATGCAGTTTCATGACAAAGATGTTAGTTCCACTTTTAGGCTTTAGTTTCTTTCCATCACATCTGAGTCACAATGCCATTAAGAACTGTCAGTGTCTCCTTCCAAAGAGAAAGTTCTTTATAGAATTCTAGTTATTGACGTTTGTTGCTTGAGACAGTTTGTGCGATCTCAACCAATTACCCGTTTAGGTTTGTCGGTCTTTGTTTGGGCCAAAGCATTATATTCATGTTGAGATCAGAGAAGAAATATTAAAGTTGTATGCCTCTGTGTAATCTGGTCTCAAGTAATTAGCTCAATTGGAATTCGAAATTTCGAGCATTAGACAGTTTCTTGGGATCATTTAAGGTAAAAAGTAGATCTTTTTTCTTCTCTCCCCCCCCCCCCTGGGTTTTGAAACACAGAAGGGATTAATTGAAGACTATTGCAGAGACATTTAAAACTGGAATGTCATGTATTATAAAGGATGGACAATGAAGAGCTGCTAGCTCTTATTAAAGTTACAGGAGAATACAACACAATTATTTTCACAATTATTGCCAACAGCTATTGTCTTCCTTAAGCCTTGTCCTCCTTTATCTCAGCTTCCTCTATCAAGGAAGAGTGTAAGCTGCAAAAATCAGCAATTTTATGTTAAAAATGAACTGATAAAATAAACCGATACTGGCCAAATAGCTATCTATCTAGTGATAGGTATAAATCAAGTTGAATTTTGGACCTGACTAAAGTTTAGTCACACTTGATACATAAACATATATGTTAGGATAGCAAAGAAAAGAAAGAATAAATGCATATTTTGGTAGTTTTCAACGTGAAACCAAACATATCATAATACTTACGTCCACACTTGTAGCCAACAGGGCGATTAGCCAAGTTGCAGCGCTTGGGGATGGTGATGGCGATCTCCGGCTTAACTCCAGCGCTTTTGGCGGTGTTGGAGAGCAGAACAGCACAGAGGCAATTAGGGTTCTGCCCAAATTTCTTGATCTGAGCACAGCAACTCCGGGGGACACTGGCACTTGCATCTTGAGATGCTGCAGCACAAGGAGCAAGCTTGAGAGCCTCATTATCTGGTGTGGTAGAGCTCCCACATTCCCCTGCACCCTCAACCCTCTCAAAACCCCCAGTGCTCACAAACACCACTAGCATCCCAAGAATGCACAGGAATTTCACAGGAGCCTCCATTTCTGGGTTTTCTGAAAATGATTCTCTTCCCTCAAGTGAACTTACTGTGAGTTGAAGAGTGCTTTGGCTGTGAAGGGATTTTTATAATCTAATTGGAATTAGAAAGTGGCTGGTCTAATCTCCTCCTGGAATTAATGGAGGTTGCATTATTGCAAATGATATATTTTCTTATTGCTCCACTATACTTTGTCATTATCTAAGTATGAACACAATGATGCTTCTTCGCTTCCCTCCCCCCCCCCCGGGGCCCCAATTAGCAAGTGTCTAATAAATATATTTCACACGGTAGATATAATTTTACAGTAACAAAAATACTTATATACCTATTTGAATTTTTTAATATACTTTTTCTTTCTTGAAGAGAATAGCTAAATCTAATGAAGATTAAAGGTGAATCCAAGGATCTATTTATCATTTATTCTGCACTCTCTCATCAATAATTGAACCATGTTTAGGTATTTTAGCCTTTTGTTTTATTTTTTTAATCTAAAAGTTGCTAAATTCTGAAATTAAAGGCGAAGATATAGCCTAATTTGGGGTATATACTGAATTTGACTTTTAGACTTATAACTATTGGGTTTCATTATGTTATATGAGAATTACTCGAAACATAAAAGAAATAAGTGCACAAGACATTATTACCCACCATGTGCTGACAAAAAGAGCATATTATGTTGCTGCCTCAATCTCAATTATTTAATTTGAAACATAAATGAAAGGGTGCAAACTTTTATTAGATTAAAATTTTCAATAAACTATGTTAATATGGAGGTCGCTTTTCGTTTTAAGAAATCAGACCATTTTAAAGAGGGAGAATATATAGATCCTCTGCTAGAAACAGTGATATTTATTCCCCAGCATTTTGGTTCATAAGAGGAATTGATGATTTTAGGCATTTGTTTGAGAAAATGCTCAAGTAAATTATAAAGGGAGGGTTGGCTTCACATTATCAACAAATTGAAGCATTTTATTTGGGAATTAGTTATCCAAATAGGTCGTCAGTTTATGAAAATGTATGATCTCCGAAAGTGTGGGAAGGAGGGTTACATTACTTATGACAAATAACATTTTAATCAAAGTTGTTATTTTTTCTGCCCTTAACATAGAATCTAATTTAAAAATTGATATTGGTTATATACTTATATATATATATATATATTAAGACATTTTTTATTAATTTTTTTCAAATTAATCTTATTAATATTTCCTTAACAATAATCAAGTGAAAAACAGATGGAGAAATTAAAAAAGATGATTAGGGTGTTTTAAAAAAAATACATTATATTAATTAATTTAACCACCTTCTTCAATCTAATCAAATTAATTAATTAGGTGTTACATTTTGGTGAAATATTATAATAGGTACAAATTAAGCTAATTTTGACATCCAAGAGAATGTATGTGATTTTTCCGGTTGCTGTTTTCTAGAGAAATGGTGGTGGTTGGCTTCACACACAGAGAGAGGAGGGTTTATGGTGAGGGTAAGGTGGGGAATTTGCTAAGGATCAGAGAGGATTGAGTGGATTAGCTCAAGATAATATTTTAAGTGAATTGGTCTGCCGAAAGTTTAATTATTGAACTCTTAAAACAGTAAATTACATAAATAGACTGATTAAGATGAAAAGGGTCCCCCACACCAGGGCATTTGGTCTAGTGGTATGATTCTCGCTTAGGGTGCGAGAGGTCCCGAGTTCAATTCTCGGAATGCCCCCACTGTCTTTTTCTCCCTTTCATGTGTACAGCAATCCCAACCGTTTCCCTGGAAATTTGAACATTTAATTAAGATGGCCAGATACTACTCGCTGCCCATGTCATTCCTTAGCTTCCCTTGTCTGTATCCGTAGAAATTCGTAGTTTTTTTTTTTGGCCGAAGAAAAACATTCAAAGTTCAAAGCAAAAAGAAAAGAAAGAATAAAAGCCAGTTAGAATCGTCTTCGTCGTGAAATTTTAATACTCTACAAACTACATATCTAAGCTAATGCCAATATTTTGAAATCAGGCTCCAAGTAGTTTCTTCATATATTCTTTTTCATCTACAACAAATTCATCCAAAGACAGTTTGCTATCCCTGGTCCAGTATCTTGAGGGGATGATCAAATTGAGTTCCGATGACTTTGCCCTTTGGTATCAATGGTAAAAAAATCTGTCAAAACTCTCTTGGCTCCTCCCCCTCGTTGGGAAACGATATTGTTCCTGGTCGTGCTATTGATGATTGGAGTTTTTTCTTCCTTGGAAGGTTTCATCGTTCTTGGAGGAGTTAATGTTGGTGTGAGACACATCCTAGATGGAGTGCTTGGCATAGGCACTGGAAAACGATCCCCTGAATGTTTTGTCAAGTCGTCCACATAGAGTACATCATCGATACGTGCTACTATATTGAATGCCAAACTCTCCAGTACCCTTGAATAGCTCTCTAGAATCGCCTTCCCAACATCCTAACAATAGAACAGGTCCAAACAGTTAGCTTGTGTTATAAGTTAATTCATGGCTATACTCATTGATCATCAAGATCATCCAATGGAACAAAGGAAATGAGAGAATGCTAACCTTGTTGTCTTGAATTTTGCTAATGTCTAGGTTTGATTGGGGGAGACCAGGGAATCGTTGTCTTAAGGATATAATAATGCTTTCTGCTCTCTCAGCGAACAATTCCCATTTGTCTCCATCAACCATCAGATCTTTGACCATTTCCCATGATGTTTTTGAGCTGTATCTGGCTGTGCCGTTCACAGGTTTCGAATTAGCCCTTCTACGCCAAATGTTAATGGAAGCTTCTACTCGATTAGCAATATCCATGGCTTGATGTTCAGAGGATACATCAAGGCAGTCTACTACACTCTCAGGGGCAAACTGATCTGACGCTATGTACCCATAAATAAGATCGCCCAAGCCAGCTCGTGCCGTCTGAAACAATGTTGGGTCAGCAATTTGATCACCTACATCTTCTAATATCATATAAAACCATGATGTATGAGTACATACCTTTGGAAGAGATTCTAGGTACGACTCTGGAATGTCCATTTCAGCTAAAGTAATAGTGTTGATGGCTATGGCAGCCTTTAGTATTTGGTTGGTGCAATCTCGTTTATGCTGTAATTGCCTTCTTACACGTTCACGAAGACCAGAAGGAGGGACTCGAGGAACAGGAAGCCACCATTTTTCCTCATGATGCTTAAGTCTTCTTCCTAGAGCAGAAGATGAATCTTCATTATCTGAGGCAGAAACAACCCCCTGATCCACGTACCAGAACTCTGTATCCACAAAACTGTCCAATATATCCTGCAAAAACACCTTCATTAAATGAAAAATGGCTTATTCGTATACAAATCTGTACAGTGAAAAATGAATGTTAGCGAAATATGCTCACAAGAAGCATGTTATCTAGTTTGCGTAAAGCTGGAAGGTTGACATAAAGATCCGACCGAGGTCTGCTACCCATGACCTGTTTCATCAACGAGTAAAACAGAAAACATTGTCAGTTCTTACCATGGTTGTGGATGAATCAATGGATATAAATGCTGTTGGGCCGGATCTGAAGTCCGATTGATTTCAAAAGTTAGGCCCAGGCCCAACTGGAATTCAAAAACCATTGTTTACGAAGCTTTACCTCCACCTTACTTCCATCTGCAGAAGTCTGCCAAATAGGAGCCAATTCAACGATATGATCACTGACACTAAGAAACCACTCCATCTCCCTTCTCCACATGGCTTTCTTCTTCTGAGGTAGAGGCTCTAGTCTCAGAATTTGCCCGAACAGTGTGGCTGCAAACTCAAAAATGATATGAGAAACAAGTAATAATCCCAACAGAGCATCTTCTGATATGTCATTTCAGAAGTGACTAAAGACAATCCTATTAATGACCATTACCACATAGATTGGTTATGGCATTTGATATAGCCAACGCTGTAGTAACCCCGTTTCCGCAGCCAGACATGTCTTCGCCAAGTAACAGTTTTGCAAACCTTTCCTTCATCATCTCTATCTCTAACAATCACAATCAGAACCAAATCATCAGAAAAGGCATGTACGTTGTAGAAGTAGTAAGATTGAGAATGACTACACGAGAAATGAAATGTACCGGATATCTCAGAGTCCTGTTTGTTAATGTGGAAACGCTTTTGATCGCCATGAACAATTGAACGAGAAAGGGTGAGCTCTGGAGCAGGATTTTTCTGATGAACCGGCTTTTTCACTGAAGGCGGCGACGAAGATGACGTCGACTCCTCCGAACTACTCCGACTCTGTTCTTCATTTCCCGTCGAGGAGAATATATCGGAGCTAGAACTGCTCTCGCGACTATTATCCTGGCTCGTATTGGCAGAAGTTTCAATCTTACCTCTATTTCTTGTGTCCTTTTCTTCTTCCACGGCAGCTTCTATCCTCTGAATGAAGCTCCCCATTTTTGAAGCTTTACCTTCCTCTTCATCTTCATGCTCAGGTGAGGAAGCACAGAAAGCACAATCCTTAACGGGCATATCGTGATCGTTATACTGAATGCTCTTCAAGCAAAAACCTCCAGAGACTTTGGAGACCCAGAAACCCAAATTGGAGAATGGGTTTTGATTGGCGTTGGTGGATGTTCGGAGCCTTGATAAGGGGACACAATGCTTGAGATGATATTGGCGTTGGATTAAAGTACTGTCCATAATTAATGAGCTCAGAGAGAGCGACTTGATTGAGCACTTCTGGTGTGGGGCTCTCCCTCTCTCTGGTTTCTTGGCTTATATATCAAGCTTAAAGTTAATCATACCACTAAAGTTGACACCGTTAATCCTAATCCCAAGTATAACAATAATGATTTCTTCGTTTTATATATGTATGGTATTTATTAGTATGACTCTGTAATAAGATTTTGCCTTTTGGTTTCATCTTTTGAAAAGGAGATGGCTAATCAATTAAGCTTCAAACGTAAACGAGGTTTGTTAGTGATCTCTGTTGAAGACTTGAGAGGATAGCAATATACCTCATCCTTACGTAATGAAGAGGAATAAAATTTTAAAAAAAAATCATTTGAAGAAAAGGAAGGAGTTATGATTGGTATATATTACCTCCTGTCCTTAATATAAGAACT